CCAAATACATGTTTTCCTGACCCACATAAAGCTTACAGTCTAAGAGGAATAATAATAATAATCATAGGGGAAAATAAAAGAGCAACATATTTTAACCATAGGGTGTTACGGACCAGAGTACAGGATGCCCTGCATTCTCCTTTGTCTCTAGGCATATACAACAGAAATGAGCATAATCTGTAATAATGGAGAAATAAAAGAATTTGGGAGAAAAAACAACAACCCATAATTATTCTAAGAGAGTAAAAATGTGTGCTTGAAATATTGAAGTAATTATCAGGTTAAATTTCTATGATCCCTGCAATTTCTATGAAACCTGGAAATGTTGGGAGCGTAGGCCTGGCATATCTCTTAAAGCAAAATTATACTTCTTTTCACTTAGATGCAAAGGTCATAATTAAAGATATAATGAAGCTAAGTGAGTAATGGGATCTGTGATTCACTGGGGGAGTGCAGGTTGCCTGAAGGCCTCCTCCTGCCCCTGGGGATGGGGGTCACCAAGTCAGATAGCCTGGAGAGCCCCCCAGAGCCCAGAACCCTCAAGTAGGAGAATGAAGAGTTGCCACCAGGGGCACTGGGAAGTGGCCCCTGAAAATATTCAACCAGAGTAAAAGCTTCCCAATTTATCTTCTCCCAGGTTTATTAGCATCATTTTTCTTGAATATTAAAGAAATGGGTACTCATAGTAAAAGATTTGGAAAGCTTTTATTTAAAAAGTCTCAAGAAGTATGAAACATTTCACCTATAATCATCTCATTATTCCTGGGGCAATCACTATTAGTTTTTTAATAAATTTCCTTCTAGACTTTTCTATGTGCTCTTCCTCATAGTTAAGATTTGCCTCTATTTAATACTTGGTATCCTCCTTTTTCCACTTGACATTATCATTCATAATGATAACAGTAACAAGCCACTGGCCACTTTCTATGTCCTTTGTTTAAATGCTTAAGCAATCTTGCAAAGTGTGTTCCACAATGGGCCACTACTTGACATCTCTGTCGTTCCGCATCCTGTCTGTAAAATGGGGTATTCACAGTGCCTACCACACAGGATTGTTTCGAGGATCTTGAGTTCATACAGCTAAAGCACTTGGAACAGTGCCCAGCATGTGATAAACACTTGATAGTGTTAACTAGCATTATTACCCCATTTTGCAAATGAGGAAACCAAGGCACAAAAGGTTAAGCAGCTTGTCCAAGGTCAGTAGCTGGTGGGGAGCAGGGTGAGGACTTGAACACACACAGTGTGACTCCAGAGTCCACGGCCTTAAGCCAAGTACAGCGAGAGCCAAGTTTCTTTTGAGAAAAAGGACTGAAATTTGGTCCACAGTTGGGATTATGACATACCTAGATACATCTTCTGAACGTGCAAGGGTTCTAAACAGAAGCCAAATTGTCAAAAAGGACAGTGGGGTCCTGAAGCAGAAACTTGCACAAGGAAAGCTAGTGCTTCTAGGTTCCTCAAGTGAGAAACTGTGTCTATGTTCTTTACAACCATATCCCTAGATCCTAGACTAGCAGAATAGCACCTGACCGCAGTAGGTACTCAGTAGAGCTGTTGACTGGCTAAATTTTGCAGGATGGGGTCATTCTTAGCAAATGGCTTGAAGATCAGAGGGACTGATGGTTCCAGGGTAGCTGCTGACATCAGAACCCATCCTGACTTAGCCACTTTGGCAGAATGTCTGTTCCCGGAAACAGTCATGAGAAGCATACTGTATAAAGAGTCTCCCTAAACTCTGCAATGCTTGGGACCCCCTGTTCTGGGACTCCCATCCTAATCCAGCTAGGCCATCTCCAGCTCGTCTTCTGAAAGTGCCATTGGCCAGGGCAAACTTCAGTGTAGTTTCAGCCGTGTTCGAGTTTTACCTCCCAGCTGGTGGTAGAAACATGGTTCCAGCCTGACTTGCACAGATGCGGTGGCTGCTTAGGGTACAGTGGAAGGGGCAAAGCTCCAGTCAGAGAGAAAAAAAGCTGTGTTACCAAGCTATGGAACACTTTAGGGTTCCACCTACTGTGGTATCTCCACCTTCCTCAACTGAACAAACAAAAGATAATCCACAGTAAGATAACTGCGGAATGTACAACATCAGGGAGGCAAAAGCAGGATCCCTGCTCCTTAGGACTGAGACACTGCCAGAGATCTGCCACAACTAGAGAGTAGCAGTGGGGCATTCCAGCACACAGTGGGCCTCTTGTGGACAGTGGTTCTAGCTTGGCTAGACATGACAGCAAGCCTCGATCTGGACAAACTCATTTCAGTCCATGGTAGAGGTCCAGAAACATTAGGGGAGGAGAATCCCTAGGGGGCCTGGACTTTTAACTTGAGTTGGTGGTGGTTCAGGGTCACAGCCATTTGGGCATTAAAATGCTAATGGAACATTGGGTTGCAGTGGTTACTTAATTTATGTCTAGTTGGAGTGGTGTTTAAGGCATGGGCCTTGAATTCAGATAGATCTGGAGGGGGAATATCACTTCCATTTCTTGAGCAGGTTATTTAGCCTCTCTAGCCTTGGTTATCATGGGAGTGATGCTACCACATTGAGCTCTCTTGAGGGTTACATATGCAAAGTGCTTAGCAAAGGTCCTGGCCTATATCTACTATCGGAAATAAAGCAGCCTCTCCTTCGGCACAGGCTCGTTCATGCACATCATGCAATAACCCTTTAAGGCAGGAAGTATTATTATCATCCCACAAAGCCTCAGAGACCTTGAGCAATTGCTCCAGATCACACAAACTATAAGTGGTGGACCCAAGACTCTCACAGAGCCCTTCTGGGTCCCTTAAATTATATCAGGCAAGTAATTTAATAAAGCGAATGAGCTAATTGACAAAAGTTTTTTAAAACATTAACCTGTGATACACATATAATATAATGGAATAGTGTAGAGTTATTTAGAACGATGTTGCAGAAATATGTCTACCAGAAAGGAAAGTTTATCATGGACTATTATTACAACACAGTATGTTATGATCCCTTTTAAACAATATATATAATATATGCATAGAAAAGACGCTGGAAGGATCTACATTAACATGTTACATTGGTTGAGTCCGAACGGATCTTAGGCTGTTTCTTAAAGGTTCATTTTGCTTGTATAATCTAGCCTAAGATTATTTCATAAATGTTGGGGTGAATTGAACACATGACCTAGGGTTAGACATTAAAAATTTTGCTTCTCTCTCAAAAGGATGGCTAGCTTCAGACCAAAACTCTGAATTTTAGGATTAACATGCTCAGGTGGCACATAAATCAGCAGTCACCATCACTCCTAACCCATTATTCTTTTTTATTGTCTTCAGAGCACTCACCACCCACCACTTCGTATGTTTTAGTTGCTTGATTGCATTCTGAGCCCCCACCAGGAAGCTATGAATTCCTGAGAGCAGGGACTTTGGTTTGTTTGCTGTCTGGCACAGAAGATATGCTCAGTACATGTTTGTCGAATCACCCATTTGTTAAAAGCAGTGAGTATAACCCAGCTTTTCCATAAAAGGCAAGTCTTCCTCTTCCACTGTCACCCCTTCCCCTCCCCACCTGCCCTCCCCACCCATCAGCACCTCCCATGCACATCATTTAGCACCCAAAGCACCATGGAGGCTAGCAGGTAACCTTTGACATCAGGGCTTGTAATACGCATCCATCTCGATGGTTTTCTGCATATTGCGTTTTCGCATGTTTTCCTGCTCTCGATCTTCAAGGACTGTGGCAGCTGCTTAGATGCCAAAGGAGGGCAGAGTGCTGGCTTTAGGGGTGGGGGTAGAAAATAACCTCCCCGAACCAAAAAAAGAACAACCGCCAACTAACAAAAACCCTGCAAAAGGGCAATGGTAACCCCGAAGCCTGGGGGGGGAAAAAAAAGCAAAAGGAAAACCAAGGAACTGGCCCGAAACCCCGGAAAGGTGAAAAGCCCCCCCCTGGGGCCCCGAAACCCCCCCCAACAAGCCAACCAAGCCTCCCCCAATCCCAACAAGCCAAAAAACCCACAAGAAAAGGGTGAAGGTTTGGTCAAGGTTGGTGGTCCAAAACCTAAGTAACAAAAGGCCCGGGCCAAGAAAACCAACCAAAGAAAAATTGGTAAACACAACCGCCAAAAGAACGGAACCAAGAAAGGGCAAAAATTTTGACAAGAGCCCATGCCTTCTGATTACCTTTGCACCAGATAAAATCCTGGAGTGATCCGTGTTAATGTAACGAATGCAGCCCCCTCCCTACTTTGGGCTCCTTTATTTGGGATGTTTCTGGACAACACCAAAAGACATTTGCAAAGTGAATCTCACTCACGGTCAGGAGAGAGTGGGGACTCCAGGACTCCCCCAGTGTTCTAGCTGCTCACTGGTGGGAAATGTTCCAAAAAGCAGAGGCAGCTCTGGGCCCCTTCATGTTTGAAAAAGAATCTAAGAGCAGGGATGAGGCAGCGAGCTGAAATTTTAAGAGGCTACAGAAATCCAGTAAGTAACCATAAAACCCTAGGAAGGCAAGCTTTGAATAAAATTAACAGCTAGCAGTTAAGTTTTATTATGTGCCAGGCATTGTGTTAAATGCTTTACATAGAACTTCCCATTTAATCCTCCTAGCAACCCCAGGGGAACAGATTTTACTACGCACACTTTACAGAAGACAAAACAGAGCCCCAGAGAAGTTAAGTGACTTGCCTAACAGCACACAGCTGGTTTAGAGCCGGGATTAGAACCCAGGTTTCTCTGTCTCAGGTGCCAGCTAGTTGTCAGAGCATTCCTGGAATGCCCGTGCAGGGCGTGTCCAAAGAAACCCCAGCTCAGCCAGAAAAAGAACTGAAATTTCGTGCAAAGGTGAAATGGCTGTATCTGGACCAGCCGCTCGGCGGGCCAGAGGGCCTTAGAGCAGGTCCCTCTTCCCAGCGCTCCCCAGCCCCGCGCCCCGCCACCCTGGCTGGCGCGGTCCTCAGGGCGGGCGCTGTCCGAGGCGCGTCGTCCGGGGCGCGGGTCGGGATGCGGGCGCGGGCGCGGGCGGAGGGCTGGGCGCGCAGCTGCCGCGGGGTTCGGCCTGGCGGAGCAGATGGCGCCGGCGGGGGGCAGCCGTTTGACGTTCGTAGCACTTTCCTTCGCGCATATGTTGCGGGCGGGGACGACCTCCAGCCCGCTGTGGCGGCCGGTTGCCAGCCCTAGACGAGCGCGGACGCCCGGCTCGGCTCCGAACCCCAGCTCGGGCCCGCGTCTGGGGGTTAGGGGGGCTGGCAACCGTCCCCTCGAGTAATGACGTGCATTTCCTATCTTCACCGTAGGCCTACAAGAAGGACCACAGTCCCATTTTACAGCTAGAAAACTGAGGTCTGAGAAGGAGCTGAGCGGCAATGGGGCCAGGACTAGACCCTAGACCCCTGCCTGACATGTGCTTCTGCCTGGGGACAAGCGTGTCTCCAGCCTAAGGGGCCCGCCAAAAGCAAACGAACTTTCTCGATCTTGCTTGTCTATGTTCCAAAAAATGTTCTTCCTCGTGTAGGGCCCTTGCACATGGTGTCCTTTAAGCCCCACCCTAATCCCTCCCCACCCCCCAACCATTCCTTCCAAGGGCTCTTTCAGTTTTCAGCTGAGGCGGCATTGTCTCCAGGAAGCCTCCCTGGAACCACAGCACCAGGGCCCTAAGGGTGGCTAAGACCCTTCATTCGATGAACGTGCGGGAGCCCCCCCCCCAACTGTAAGGACAGGGAGTGGGTGTGCCTTTTTGTTCAGCATCCTGTTCCACCTGCATCATAGGCACTCAAGACATAGTTGTGAATGAATGAGTAGTTAAACGGGTGAATGAATGAACCAACAGGATCTCTGAAGTGGCACTTACTTCCTTACTATCCAGTTGTCAGCCAGTCGGGGGCGGAGGGAGGGCAGATAATACAAGAACCAGGGCTGTTTGGAATCTTGGGCCTTCTCAGCCGCAGCCCTTCGTTAATGAAACGTGTGCTGCGGTTTGCTCCCCTTCCTCCTGCTCAGCCCACCCCACCGCCCTGTGACTGGAGGCCAAGCCCTTCCCCTCCTGTTGACGGAACGGAGTCTTCCTAATGCTGATGAATGAAGTGACCGTTAATAAGATGAAACCAGGCCAGAGAGAGCCAAATGAGAAAGTTGGCAGCTTTGTAAGTGGTTTTTCAGGGGGAGAAAGTGAGAAAATGGACACTAAAATGAATCCTTTAAGTTGCTTTCCTGACCTGCTTAGTGGGAGAGCTGGGGATTCCAGGGTGTTGGAGACCTTCCCAGATGGAAAGAGTTCAGATGCAACAAATATTTACTGACGCCTACTCGGTGCCAAGGGCTCCTTGGGGCTCCATGACAAACAGCTCGAAGGATGCTTGGCACTCTTGAGGCCTCCTTTGAGCCTCCCCAAAACGCTGGGCACTGAGGTTCATTGCCTCCATTCTGCAGAAAAAGGAACAGAGGCTCGTGGGGTCGGATGGCCTGTCCAAGATCATCCTGCCAGAATTTTATCCAGAAACAGTTTTCATTGTTTTTTGAAAAATCCAAATGTGATTTTTTTGTGTGTGACTTAAAAAAAAAAAAAAAAACTCTTAAATTTTTTGGTACATGAATTGCAGCTTGATAATTTGCCTGTTTGGATGCCATCTCCCTGGCTGGAAAAATTATCTCCTCCTTGAGAGGTCTCAGATTGACAGAGCTTGATCTCCCTCATTTACTAAATCCAGTAACTCTTTCAGTTCATTGAAAAGACTAATAGCTAGAGCTTATTAGTCCTCATCACTTGTTGACTAAGTGGCACTATTAAATTAATGTGTTCAGTACTTTATGTGCACTAGCTCATTTAAACCTCACAACAACTTCAGTGAAATATGCACCCTTTTGGTCCCTGTTTTGCAGGTGAAGAAACTGTAGGTTAAGTAACTTCCCCAGGATCAAGAGCTGGTGACAGGCAGGATTCAACCCAGACAGTTACCTGCTAGGCACTGTCACATTCACGGTTTTCAGGATGTTCTCTGAGGACCCCCAGGGTCCCATCCAGGGATGGAGAAGATTGAGGCAAAGGGACTTTTGGCTGGGCAGGCCTGAGGGACTTATCCATCCAACCAGGACAGCGCTGCTCTTGTCCTCTAAATGGAATCTGCAAGATTTTGTTAGACAAAGAGTACTACCTAGTGCTAAAAATTTTAGAAGTTGGGAACCAATAGGGAATTTTATTGGTCTGACAATTGTATGGTTATGCAGGTAGCAGGGCAGTAGCTTCTGGGGGCCCAGCTTTATTTCCTGTGTGCATCACCCTGCAGCGCCCAGGCCTGTGTCTCAGTGAATGCAAGCTGCAGTGAATGAAATGTTTCAGAAGGTTCTGGGGTAGCTGTTCTACTGCAGTTTACTCTTTGCTCCTTCTAGAACTTACAGGGGCACCTGCAGCCATGCAGAGAAGACTCATATCAACCTCCAGCTGGTGCTCATGGAGAAGAAAGACTCTGTGCAGGTCAAGAGGGGGCTTAGTGGGGTCACCTGAGAGCAGCACAGAGAACACCTTGATGCTGTGGCTTCAATTTGCTCCCAGGGATTTTCTGAAGTTATGAGGGTAGGAAGTGCAACAGCCTCAGGCTAGAGGACACAGGAGCCTCAGGTTTGGGGACAGAGGAAGAGGGCTCTGCTACCTATTAAGAAGGTAGTGATTCTGCCTTTGGGGGGTGATGAAGATTGAGGTACTGGCGTACATACAGCCAGCCTGCCCAACCTGACTCTCTATCCATACCCTTAATGTTTATTACTTAATCAAATCCCATTGTGTACTCCAATGTTAGGCATACAATAAAGTCAGATATGGGTAAAAACTAAAACAAAAACTAAAAACTATTAGCAAAGACTAAGCAAAGGTATAAATTAAATAGTCAGGTTGGAGAAGAGAGTTAGAATACAGGTGTGCAGATGGGATATCATAAACAGTTACTGGAGTTGAGCTTCAAAATTAACTTTTAGCTTCCTAGTGGCCAGAGTGAAAAGGAAAACACAATCCGTGATATGATTCCAGTTTTCTATGAGGATATGCTGAGTTGCTCAAGGGATGATGAGCTTTTCTCCAAACATAGAACAAAAAGAATTTTCTTGAAAGGCTCACTGAATGCAGAATTCAAGGATGAATTTTATGGAATAGAAGGAACCACTTGTCCTTCAAACAGGTCTTCATGAATAGTACTTCTCTCAGTAGGGCTTTGGATAGGACTTGGGCAGAAGGCAGTTATGGTTACTGTGTTTTGCTGAATAAGTCAGATCCACCCTCAGACTTTCTATCCAGTCTATGCTCAAATATAATTATGCAATGAACATACTTCGAATCAAAAGAAAAAGATGAAGTTATGTGAAGTGGACCTCAACCACATACATATTTTTAAATTTATACAAATAAAACTCTCACTGATGTTGTATATGTGCCTCTCCCATTGCTTCATTTCCAGATCATGGTCCAAGCAAATTCTGCCACTCTGTGGAGACCTGGCCCTGATAATGCTGGTTCATTTAGCAGGTACACCATTCATCTGCAAGGAAGGAAGAAAATATAGATGTCATCAATAATATTCCTACAGAACCTCCAAGCTAACCCAGTTCTCCTAGTGTGGGAGACAATAATTTGCTTCCTGAGATATGGGGATTGCTTTTCTTTGGTAGCTGAGACCCAATCAGTCTTCAGAGGTGGTTGTAATTAATAGGTAAGGAAGTGCAAATACATCTGAATTAATAGAGCCACTAGGTGTGACTAACTATAATATGATTACATGTGAAATTAACCCAGAGATCAAACCTAATCAATCCAGACTAATAACTGCCAGGACAACAATTTATGGTTTTAGATGAGTTTACTTTGAAAGGAACTAAGGAAAATGAACTCTGTTAAAATGTAAAGGCTGTGGTTTTTTTCAAAAGTGTGAGTAGCATACCAAGATTATAAATATGCATGTAGATGATATTAATGTCCAGATGTTGAATAACCAAACCATTATTTATATTGGCAAGTGAGAGTAAACAAAATTAGAAAACCAGAAATTTGTAAGTAGAAGCACACATTTTTTAAATGAAGCTGAAATGGTATAGAATCTGAGACTCTCAATGTTGCAAGTTTTATTATTTATTTAATTCCAGTAACTTAAAAAAAATTACAGAACAACATTTTATACATAGAATATATAAGCTATAAAGATTAAGATAATAAACAGCCATGTACTTACAACTTAGCTTAAGAACCACAATATTAGCAAATTCATTGCAGCCCCTTGGACATCATTCCCTGACTCTAGACCTTCTCTCCCACACTCCAGAGATAAACACTATTGGAATTCTGCGTTTTGTTATTGTGGTGGATTATGTTGCTGGCCCCAATTTTTCATCCTTTACTGTATCCACACCTTTCTCTATGTAACTTTGCAGAGCCCTCCCACTGTGGATAAAGCTTATTTCACTCTTTCTTTGGGTTTGTCCAAGAGAGGGAAGTAGAAATGACATGTCAGTTCTGAACCCAAGCCTCAATAATCTTTCCATGTTTCCACTTGCTTTTTTGCACCTTTTCCATCACCATAAAAAGAACATGCCCACACTAGCATGCTAGCCAAGGAAGAGGATAAAAGATACATGGAATGGAAATAAGTCACCCCATCCTAGATCAGCCAACCCCCAGTGAAGCCCCAGTTCCATGAGAATAAGTGATTGTGGCCTTAGAACACTGAAGTTTTAGGCAATTCTTTATACAACATGTTTGTGGCAATTGCTAACTTGCATGCACATTCTCCCCTTTCTTTATAGTTCTGCTGCAGATATGTCCTTGATCACACTGTTTAGTTTTGCATATTTTTGAACTGTACATAACAGGAAGCATACTGGTGAATTCTTTTGCATAGCTGGCATTAGGATTTAAAAGGTCCATGTCAATAATTGAAAAGAGCCCTATAGAAGCCAAGAGTTTTAAAAAATTACAGTAGTAAGCAGGTAAACAGACTTTCAAGTGGGCATCTTGCCAAGGATCATCCACAGCCAGGTCAACACAAACCATCTCAGCAGCACATGGATGATAATGCTGGAAAGCAAAATAGCAGAAAAGATGAAGAATGAACCCTTCGTTATGGCTGCCTTCCATCCCATGGAGACTGTGGTGAGACGAAGAGCTGAGGTGTCAGGCAGACCTGGGCCACACTCCACACCCTCCTTGTCCACTGGAGTAAATTTCAGCAATTATTTTATACCCTCTGAACCTCAGTTTTGCTGTCTGAGGAATGGATATAATAATCCCTCCCTACAGTGAACTGAAAGCAAATTAATTCACTCACCTCTGTGAAAGCAAAGGTTTCAATTCTAACTTTTGTAGAAGAGATGGGAAGTGATGGCATTAAGGACACAGGGTAGAAAGGAAGAGGAACTTTCTTTCCCCCAAGGCATGAAGAATTTGTGAGTTGAAGGAAAGGCAGTTGATACCTCTCACCACTCACTAAAATTAATTCAGGATGGCTTACAGACTTAAATCTATGACATGAAACCATAAGAATTCTAGAAGAAAATATTGGAAAAACTCTTCTAGATATTGACCTAGGCAAAGAATTTATGAAGAAGACCCCAAGGGCAATCACAGCAACAACAAAAATAAATAAATGGGACCTGATTAAATTAAAAGGCTTCTGCAGAGGCAAGGAAACAATCAACAGAGCGAATACACAACCTACAGAATGGGAGAAAATATTCGCAAGCTATATATCCAATAAAGAACCTGCAAAGAATTCAAGCAAATCAGCAAGAAAAAATAAACAAACCCCATTAAAAAATGGGCAAATCATGAACAGGAGCTTTTCAAAAGACGATAGACTAATGGCCAATAGTGCTCGACATTACTAATCATAAGAGAAATGCAAATCAAAACCACAATGAGATATAACCTAACTCTAGTGAGAATGGCTTTTATATCAAAAAGTCCCAAAACAACAGATGCTGGTGTGGATCAAGAGAGAAAACAAAGCTTCTACATTGCTGGTATGACTGCAAACTAATACGCTCTCTGTGGAAAATAGTATGGAGATTCCTCAAAGAACTAAAAGTAGACCTACTATATGATCCAGCAATTCCACTACTGGGTATTTACCCAAATGAAAAAAAGTCATGTTATCAAAAGATACTTGTGCTTGAATGTTTATTGCAGCATAATGCACAATCACAAAGATGTGGAATCAATCCAAGTCCCTGTCAATTCATGGCTGGATTAGTAAAATGTGGTATATGTATACCATGGAGTACTACTCAGCCATTAAAAAAATGAATTAATACCTTTTGCAATGATCTGGATGGAACTGGAGACCATTATCCTAAGTGAAGTATTGCAAGAATAGGAAAACAAACACATGTACTCACTATTAAGTTGGTTCCCCCAAATAACATCATGCTGACTACAAGATGCTAGACATAGGCCGGGTACGGTGGCTCACACCTGTAATCTCAGCACTCTGGGAGGCTGAGGTGGCAGATCGCTCAAGGTCAGGAGTTTGAAACTAGCCTGAGCAAGAGCAAGACCCCATCTCTACTATAAATAGAAAGAAATTAATTCGCCAGCTAAAAATATATATAGAAAAAATTATCCAGGCATGGTGGCACATGCCTATAGTCCCAATTACTCGGGAGGCTGAGGCAGGAGGATTGCTTGAGCCCAGGAGTTTGAGGTTGCTGTGAGCTAAGTTGTCGCCATGGCACTCTAGCCCAAGCAACAAAGTGAGACTCTGTCTCAAAAAAAAAAAAAAAGATGCTAGATGTACATGAGCTCATGCTGAATGATTTAATTTATATAAACTTCTAGAACAGGCAAAATTAATCTACAGTTACAGAAAGCAGATCACTGGTTGCCTGGGGCTGAGATTCTGCAAAGAGGCACCAGAGATCTTTTGAGGCAATAAGGTAAAATTTCTATATCCTGATTGTGGTGATGTCTATATGTGTGTATATACGTTTGTCAAACTCATTAAACTGCACACTTAAAATGGATGTGTTTATTTTATGTAAATTTTATCTTAATAAAGTTGATGTTTTAAAATTTCCAAATGGGGGTA